CTCACTACTTGTAAACACCTAAGCAGTCTGAATTGCTGCAGTAGTGACATGTTGAATTTCATATTCCCAGGAAGAGAGATATTAAAAAACATTATCAATACAATATTTGCTTTTCTGTTTCTTCTAGGATCTGGTTTATGTAGCTACTTTTTACTGGGGCTTTTCTGGTGTAAAATTGCACAACCTTATTCAATGCCATTCCAGAATACATAGTACTTCCAGAAATGCACTAAACCAATTCATTCCTGAGATTTAAAAAAAGAAACTGAATGAAGGCAATGAAAAACACATTTGGATGACCCAAATACACACTTATTTGCTTGCAAGCCACAGTACAATTGCAGTTTTTATTTTAGGGAAGGAGGTAGCTTGCTGGTCAACAAAAGACCAGATTAACCATATTTCTAATTGTGGGAATTCCCATACTTGGATATTTAGTAACTTTCATAATTTGACAAGTTGAGGCACTTAAAGAGTTGCAAGAAATTGGCATCTTTTGAAATAGCTATCCTATGAATCCATTGCCTTACTATCTAAATCCCTTTTATTTACTTATATACCTCCAAATATAGCAGTACTATGCATACTGCTTCATAGCTACTGCACTTTGGTTACTTGCTAAGAATGGATTCATGTTAAATAAGTTCAGAAGCTATTTGATCATATTAAAAATAAAACTTTCATCGCACTATTTTAAAGGAATCTTAATTCTGGAAAATTATAATTATAAATCTGCTACATTAATCAGGTCATGAAAGAGATCTGAAATTCATCGCATACTTAAAAACAAAGTTGTAACTTGTGAGCTATATTCAGCCCACCTGAAATGAACTTCTGTATCAGATACCTGTAAGAACACACAGTACAGTGTTTATCAAAAACAGTTGTTGATTTGATAACAGTCAGAGATACAATATTTTACTATAAGGAAAATATTAGGCTGTACTTCTAAGTTTTATTTAAAATATCTGCCCTTGAATTTATTTGAAAAACTTAAGAGTTAACCATCTAATGAAAATTCAGGAAAATTGAAGAAAAAAAAAACCACAACACTTCCATTAAAAATGAAGATTCAGAAAAATGTGGAAATGAGGAAAATAATAAACATTTACTCTAAAACAATTCAGTGTCTCTAATTAAACACTGCCGTATGAATGTCTTTTAATACTATTTCCATATGTTTCAGTGCACCTAACAGTATACACACAGAAGAGACCCACATTTGACTCAACTACAGTAACTATTTTACCACCAACTTCTCTTATTTTGACTCATGGCTGGAGGAATCAGCAATTCATCATTCCTTGATTTTGAGGACTATGAATGGGAATGCTGCATAACCTTTATCAAAATGGATAAGGGCTTTAACCTTAACTTTACACATTTTCTCTTGCCACTTCAGTCTTCTCATTCCCTTAATATTAAATGAAATGAGAAACGTTTGAAGGTGATGCATTCAAGATTTTGTTATTTGTAAATTAAATGTAATAAAAACTTCTGTTTAGATGCTTTTATGAAATAACATAGCCTGAAAATCAAAACAATAGTTAAAAAGAAATAAAAGTTCTACATATAAGAAGAATTAACTATGTGAAAAGATAATTTCACAGCATAATTTCCTGTATATACTAAAGCAAAACTGGCAATTATTACAGAGTAACCTATTCAGTTATTCTTTTACACATTAAGCAGATTATACTGCATTATATAATTTATGACTATTTTGGTTTATTATATGTATTCTTGGTATTTAAGCTGCATAGTAAATTTCTCTATTGCAGACATTCTAGGCGTACTTTATCTGATTGGAAATAGATAAGTAGAGCCAAATATCTAGCTGACTCTTCCAAATAGTTGACTTCATCTGTCTATGATTCATCTGCTGCTGTGTAGGCATCATATTTTAGCATTTACACAGTGCAGAGACGTGCAGGCAGCATCATTATGAGGGAGTTCTCCAATTCTGTAGTTTAAAAAAAAAAAAAAAAAGAGCAGCTTGAGATCAGGAACAACTTACTACATTCAACTCCCAGATTTCCTTCTACACACGCTCCTGCTCCTTGGTCATGATTGCTCGTACTACCTTTGAGATCACTCCCTCTCTGTTCACAAGAAAGCCCCATGTAACACAAGTCTCCAGCTGCACTTTGTGTGGGCAGAAAGGAGAAGCGCTGTCTGTGTTGGATGGAGTGTTCTATCACAGGATGGACATGGTAAGGACCAGTGGCCTAGATTATATAGCTTTTCCCAAACTTAAGTCCTGTTACCACTAGTAGCCTGTGTGTTAGGGAGACAAGATGATTTACAGCATGCTTACTTCTGGAATTGAATCGCCAAACCACACTGTGCATATAGAAGTATGTATGTATGCCCATTTTGTATGTATAGGGAATCACTTGCAGTTTCTGGCTGGAAAGGGAAACAGACACGTTTAACTCCAAAGAAGGATTTTCTCTGAGACAGGACGCAGAGACTGAGAGAGGATCAGGGCAGTGATCAGGGAAGTGATCCTTCCCCTCTACTCTGCTCTGGTGAGGTCGCACCTCAAGTACTGTGCTCAGTTTTGGGCCCCTCACTACAGGAAGGGCATCAAGGCCCTGGAGAGTGTCCAGAGAAGGGCTACAAAGCTGTTGAAGGACCTGGAACACAAGTCCTGTGAGGAGTGGCTGAGAGAACTGGGGGTGTTTAGTCTGGAAAAGAGGAGGCTCACGGGAGAGAGACCTTATTGCTCTCTGCAACTACCTGAAAGGAAGTTGTAGGGAGCTGGGGGTTGGCCTCTTCTCACAGGTAACTAGTGATAGAACTAGAGAGAGTGGCCTCGAGTTGTGCAAGGGCAGGTTTATGTTGGAAATTAGGAGACATTTCTTCTCAGAAAGAATAGTCAGGCATTGGAACAGGTTGGCCAGGGAAGTGCTGGAGTCACCGTCCCTGGGGGTATTTAAGGAAAGGTTGGACCTGGCACTTAGGGACATGGTTCAGTGGGTGACATTGGTAGTATGGTGATGGTTGGACCAGATGATCTTAGAGGTCTTTTCCAACCCTAATGATTCTGTGATTCTGTGAAAGGGAGTATGAGTAGGTGTGATGGAAGTGGATCCTGGGGAAGATGTGCAGGTGCCCCACACTCTGTCAACCTTTGGCTCTTCACAGGCTTACACTACAGCAGCAGCAGAGGAGCAAGGTCATTGCCAGGTTCCACTGCCAGCAACATCCCATAGTTTATCAGGAATACAGTGTACATTGCAGGTGGGGTAAGTTGTAGCTGCTTTGTTCAAGTTGACCCTGCTTGAACAGGGCTGTTGAACTAGATGATCCAACTTTCCATAGATCAAACATATAATCCAACTGTGAGATGAACAGGTTCAAACTATGCTGAGCCAACAACTGGCTCAACAGTTGTTTGAGATCAAAGGGTTGTAATAAATGGGCCTACACCTGGCTGGCAGCCGGTCACTAGCAGTGTTCCCAGAGCTCAATTCTAGGGCCAGTTCTGTTCAATAGTTTTATCAGTGATCTGGATACAGGGGTAGAATGCATCCTCAGCAGGTTTGCTAATGATCCCAAAGTAGGAGGTGCTGTTGACTTTTGGAGGGACAAGAGGCCCTTTCAGAGGGATCTAGATACACTGGAGCATTGGACAGTCATCAACGGCATGAAGTTCAACAAAGGAAAATGCCAAGATCTGCACCTCGAACAGAGTAATTCTGGACACAGGTAAAGGCTGGGACATGAGTGGCTGGAGAGCAGCTCAGCAGAAAGGGATCTGGGAGTGCTTCAGTTATAAAATTAGTTATATTTTAAATTTACAATTTGTATTACATCTTTAATTTTAATCATAAAATAAATTATATTTTTCTTCATATCAAAATGTCTAACTGTATTCAGCCTTGTGTGCATTTAACTTTAAGCAAACATGTATTCCCATTAACAATTTACAAAAGACAGAACCAGAGTGAGCTACATGCCATATACTTCTTGAAAAAAGGAAAATCTGAAATATGTAATTTTCAGCAAAGCAGACTTTGGAGTAAAATTGTGGAGTTCTGCCTGAAACTTTTGGCTTATGCTTGTGCCACCTTTACGTTGTTGAATTTAAATAACTTGATAAAGTGATTAATTTAAATTACTTCAGAAGATCAATATAAACTGATTTGTGGAAGCTGCTGAACAGTAATTGAATTCAAAGTGCTCATCTTAAACACTTCTGTATTCTAATCTCATTGTGTTGTAAAAGAAGGTTTGATACCTAACTTAATACACAGTTGAACACCATCACTTTCCATTTCCCTCCATCCACAGATAAGCATCCAACTGCAGCTGTGAAAAAACATGTGTTTATATAATAAATTATATAAAATATTTTTATACATCAGTCATTTTTTGATTGTAGCAAGGAGCTAGTGTACTGCAGTCATGACCTCCATCTAATTCAGATTCCTCTAGTGTTATGTTTCACTTCCCCAGTATTTCAAAGTGGAAAAGCTCCCTGCTTCTGTCAAGAAGCTTTCTCCAGAGGCTTAACTGAGCTTCAGTCACAAGAAAAAAGAATGGAAATTTTTGAAAACAGTGAAAATCAACAAAGCAAGTTTTTATCACTTGCTTGGAACTAGTGAAATTACCAAAACCATTGGTAAGAAGCATGGGAGGGTTTAAGCCATGTTTCATGTCTGACGTGAAAGAGGGGAAGTCACTGGGCAGTGAAGAGATCACAAGTATTATTTCTCACCACTGCAGTCACAGCAACATTGAAGTATATAAACTCTTCTCAGCTAGTAGTGGATGACAGTAATTTTAAGGTAAGTTTTGAAGCCTATTGAATGTTTTGAGGAAAGAGAATAGAACTTGTGGTCAGGGTTCCTAATGAAAATGAAAAAAAATCCACCATCGCCTATATGACCACAGAGGCATACATCCGCTGACCCAAAGATGAATAGTCTCATATTTGATCTTGAAACTTTATGCTGTTTGGTGTTTTAAATGAACAATGCTCAAGCACAATATTGCCTGGAAAAGGAAAGACCTTTATCAGGAAACCTGTGCATACTAAATACTTACAAAGCAACATACAGACTAATTCACAGTCCACTTTTGCAGGTATTAAGGGAAATAAATGCAAGTACAACACAGAAAAATCTGACACAAGTTTTACAGAAAATCAGTGTTTAAGATGAAAATAAATTTCAATTAAAGAAACCCAGGTCTCTCTAGTGCCAGGCAACCGGAGAGTATTTACTGTGGTAGTCTTTGACAAACATTTTTACAGAAACTCTGAGGATTATGGAAAATACGCATGTGAATGTACATATATATGTATTATATACATATTTATTGCATGGTTGTATATTAAAACACAAAAACAAACAAACAAAAAAACCAACAAACAACTAAGGGTCCTGGTTTCTATGCACAAATAAAGTAAAAACACAAAACAGCATTAGAGATTACTACAAGCATGGTCTATTTTAGAACAACTTTCAGGAGCTGATTTTCTGAGACATCATTGACTATTTTTAGGTCAGTATAAATTAGAGCATCAAAAATGTAAGTTAAAATCTGGAATTCTGTGTGGAGGTTTTCATGGGTGTTGTGTAAGTTCAGTGATGTTGATAGCGTAAATGATAGACAATTTGATTTGCAAGTCTGTTACAACTCTAAAGTGAAATATAGAGGAAACCAAAGTTAAACTCTAATAGACAGAATGCTCTGTTGTCCAATATAAAACAATTTGAAGATATATGCTTAAATTTATTCTTTAAACATATGAAATGATCAAGAAAAAGTCAGGTATGGCAGACATTAGTTGAAAGATGTTTGTATAAAGGATAACAACTGAGTATGTTTACATAATTTCATCTTATGTATAAGTCATTTCCAGACTCTGCTTATCTGTTTTCCCATTTATTTTTTCTTGCTTAATCTCCCTTGTTTCTGTAATTTTGCCCTTTTCACAACACACTATTTTCTACCACTATAAATGCCCATAATGTTTTATGGATTTTGTAACTAAAAACGGTGTTTTCCAAATAATGACTAAATCTATAAAACAGCCTGGACATTTATACCATATTTAACATAAAAATGGTAGCAAACATCCCTCATCATCTCTTGTTTGTCGGAATCCCTTTTGTATGCTTGATTCTGTAGAATTCAGCTCAAAATGTGTGCCTTTTTCCACTGCAATAGGTTTATTTGCTTTTAATGTGTAAAAAAAAAAAAAAAAAGGTTTCCAACCATGGATAGAATAAATATTAACAGAAGCAGTAATACATCCATAAATATACATGCATTTTGGAAAAAAAAATATGTTAGGATACGATCCATCCCTTTCATTTAGCAGGGCATCACTTTTCAAATGCAAATTGGAAAGAATAAAGAAAGACGAGTTATGCTGGACATACGCTTGTTAATATTCTGTTAGTGTCTTTATTTTAGGGTTTATGATACACCAACAGATATGTGGCAAACACTGGAAGCACTTGTTTCTGCCAAGAACTTCTTAAATACAAGAGCAGAACATGAAGCCATGGAACCATGTCTATCAAATACAGTTGACAGCTACATTAATTTCTCTTCTTCTCAGTATTTGAGTATATGGTGGCACAGCTTTCAATACCTGCTTCAAGATGCATCATTTCCAACTCCTCTTCTTTCAGCCAATTTTCCTTTCATTTATAGAAATGCGAGAGAACATATTTCTCACCCTTGGTGAGAAGAGGTTCAAATCCAGTGTCAAGTTCATGTCTCACGCCTTTCTGAAAAGCCTCGTGCTTCTTCCAATCCATTTGTCAAATTGCTTGGGTTCCTCTTCTGCAACGCCTCCCTGGAGATACTCATTTTATTGGGTGTCCATGGCATGGTGCTGGCAGGGGGCTGCAGGGCTCCTCTGAGGGGCTGCCCCATGCCAGACACAGTCACTTCTAGCTGTCTCCAACACCCCCACCACAGGGCATGGCTGGGCCTAGCAGCCATGGGTGGGCACCTCTGGGAAAACTTACAAGAGAAAGGTTAAAAAATGTTACACAGCAGCTGTGAGAGAGGGCAACTAGAAAGAAAGTGAGAGAACCAGCTCTACAGACCCGCAGGTCAGTGCAGACGGAGGACAGGAGGTGCTCCAGGCATGGAGCAGAAGTTCCCCTGCAGCCTGTGGAGAGGTCCCTGGTGGAACAGGCTGTCCCATCCCCCCCCCAACATGATCAACACAGACATGGCTTTGGCAAGCAACAGCAAGCAGTGCAGTTTTGCATAAGGTAAGTTCAGTATAGTATATAATGTAGAAACAATAATGTAGAAACATATCATGGCATGCTTTATGCATTCCTGTTTAATGTGCTTAAATCAAATGTGCATCACAATTTGAAACATTTTTTGTTAAATCTTCAAGTTTGCTGCACTTCCTTTTTAAAATTGAGATCTGCTTTGTCAGGAAATAATAGAGTCCTTAATATACCTTCTTTCTTGGGGGGAATGGGAGGGGAAACGTTTAACAGAAAGTTGGGCAAAATTTAGACAAAATGCGTAATTTAGACAAAATGCACAGATCCAAAATGGGCCTCCTCTTTCCACTGACCGCATTCTGTAGACTTTTTCAGACTCAGAGGTCTGAAAAATAATGTGGAATAAGCAGTCTGGACTGCTGTCACATTCTGGGTTTAGATAGCATACTGGATGTCTAATTCTGCTTTGGCACCATGGCAAGCTGTCTGAATGTGTTCACTGGGAAACTAACTGAAGGTGAGGAAGATGGTCCAAGAGGCTGAAAATGCAACAGTGTGGTTCTTTGTATTTGCAGAAAGAGAAGAAAGGAGGCTTTGCACTCCTTTCCATAAGCCAAGTAAGAAGCTTGAACAAGTGTAAAGGAAGAAGTGAACCACGAATCCTTTCTGTAGTCTGTATTTTCTCTTTTTTCTTTGCTCTTCCTTTTTCATTCTGAAACAGATTAACAGTGAGCTACTCAGCTGAGCAGTTTTCTGGTTCTCAGCTGGTCCTTAAATCAGCTCTTTGTCCTGCAAGAGAAAAACTATATGAGGGCAAATCTAGAGATTGTGAAGCAAATGAATTTTTTAGACTAATTTGGTCCCTTGCATGATATATACATATATGAGTAAGTGACTGCTTTTTACATAATAAAGATCATCACAGAAAACTGTTTTTGAGGTTCAAATGAGAGGGTGAGGAGACATTGAAACACTTAACATACAGACAAAAGAAGGAAAAACAGTAATCTCATAAGATGCAGTCTGAAATGGGTGAAAAAAAAATAGGTTCTCTGCAATGTTAGCTGTCTCAGTAGTGAGGTTCCTCCCCTCCCTCCCTTTTTAAACAGTGGTTTTTGATTCTTTGTTATCATGAAAAGGTAGACCTCCAGTTATCTAAGGAATGGATGACGGTGTCTTACACTGAATGAAATAATGTATTATGACTGTTATTGTATATGTGCATGGTTTTATTGACATACATACTTCTGTTACAGACCTTGTTTTCAAAACTACTGTTGCCTTCACAATTTTGAAACTTAAATTGGAGCCTGCCACAAAGTGTAAGCACAGAGTGCAAATATGCAAACACGGTGAACTTGTTTTGCTTCCACAAACTCTTTTATGTACTGTAAATTGTAATGTGTTTCTTCTTTTAAGTGAGCAGCATGCCTGATAAAGGCTATAGAGCCCCATTCTGCTTTTCATTGACAGTTGCATTCCTACTGAGTTTCTTTTGGTGACCCTGGATAGACTTATATTTAGATTTAATGAACAATTCTCTGAGTATCAGATGAGAAGGCAGAATAATGTCAGCCCTCTACGTCAGAGCTATACTTGCAGGGCACACAGAAATAAGGAGCAATAAAGTATATTTTAGCCACTAGAGAGCACAGATATGTCAGTCTCAGTACACACAGGGAGCTGATCTTTGGAAAGGACTACTGCCTGTTTTATATAATTGCTTTTCAGAGGAGAACCACAGAGTGTTTTCACTGAACATAAATGAAACACCTTGGCATCCACTGAAGCAGACTTGGACTGGGAGAGCTGGCAGCCTCTCACAAGAAGCAGTTTTGTTGAACTGCCTTTGAGGAGTTTGAACTGGCAGTGCTGCATTCTGGCTGCAGGATAACTTGGCCAAGAACATTAGGATTTCCCCTAACATTAAGCCATTAAAAAAAAAAAAAATCACTTCCTTCCCTTTCACCCCCATTCAGAAAAGGAAACTCTTTTTTTACTGCCAGACTTACTAAGTGTTAGTCCCTCATGAAAGGAGCAGCAGAATTGAAACAATTTAAGATTTGGTAATTAAAAAGTGGAAGACATAAATTGAAATTATATTAAGAAACTCATACTTAATGAGCTAGCAGATTTTATTTTACAGTTACAATGTGCAGAATGAGGAAGGAAATCAGAGATAATTAAAGACTGATAAGACATGAGAACAGCCTGAAGAACCCAGGCTGAAGCACTGGTTTTGGTAGAGGAGGAGGATACAGGTCTCAGTCACATGCGAGCCATGAACTGTGGGTCCCAATCCAACAGCTTGGACAGCAGTCTTTTGCAAACCCCTATCAAAAAAAAAATATATAATACATATAATATATATATAAATATATATATTGTAAATACTTAGCATTATTGTCTCTTCATCTCTTCTTTGGCCCTCCATCTTCAGTATAGATTTCATTTCCCAGAAAGGTGCATGGCAATGACACTGACGCCCCACTACTACCGAACATAGTGGAATAATTAGTTCTCCAGTGGTACATTTATTTATATATCTCAGAAAATATTTTCCTTTTTTTTTTTTTTTTTTTCAACATATAATCCTCTTTTATTTTTTTATTTATTTTTCCTGATGTGGCTACTACTGCTTTGCACTGGACACAACGCCCATTTTGAGGCTGACCACAGCTCCCATTCCCTGTTCCCCTGTGCTGCTTGGGAGGAGGAGGTAGAAGAGGGTGGATGGGGAAAGTGTTAGTAATTTGCTTTTAGTTTCTCGCTGCTCTAGTCTGTTAGTGACAGGCAATTTATTATATTAATCTCCCTATGCTGTCTGTTTTGCCTGTGACAATAATTGGTGAGTGATCTCACAGTCCTTATCTCAACCCCTGAGCTCTTTCCATTGTATTTTCTCCCCCTTTTCCTTTGAGGAGGGGGAGTGAGAGAGTGGTTGTGGTGGAGTTCAGCTGCCCAGCTGGGTAAAACCACCACAACTCCATCTTACTTGAAAAATTTGTAAATACACTTTCTCACGTATCAGGTGAATTTTTAATTATAATTTTGAATAAAATTCATTTGGAATTATTTAACAAGTTCATTTAAGTCTTGCAGGTGATTATAAATTGAGTGTTTAATGATTTGTGCAAGCATCATTCAATTATCAGCTTTAGTCTGTAATGCTCTAGGCTGTTGTTCACATTTTCCACTTCTAGACTTTGTTGGGCTTCTCTCATAAATTCTGTAAAATGATGAAACCTATTAGTGAAATTTATAAAACTTTAGGTTGCCGCAATAACTCTGGAGTTTAAAGCTTTGGATGTTTAAGATGTATTGCCAAGAATCCTGGGGCTACATTAGAGAAATAGAAAAAGAATTTTTGCAGAAAAAGAATTAACAAAGAAAACAACACAGTATTTCTCCATGATCTTCCTATGTTGCTAATACTGGTGACACCCCACTGCTCTTTCCTAAGGCAATCTCATTAACATCTTTTTCCCAATTTGAAGAAAAAAACATCCTGTTTTAACAAATGCCTGTTCTCCTGGTATCTAAGAACTTGAACTTTGTCTCATAAGGGAGTCCTTTACTCTTTCATGCACCTCTGCGCGCTCTGATATCTCAAAATACATTTTTTCGTTGCAATAGAAGTTTGATATTAAATAAGCAACTGTTACAAACAATAAACGATAAAAGCCTGCTCAAGTCTTTGGAAATACTGAAATGTTGGTGCTCCCTCTTGTGGTTTAACTGAAAGAAGGAAAAGCAAATTAAACAAGCGCCAGGTGTGCCGATGTACTGGCTCCTGCTGCAGGAGCTCAGCTGGGGATTATTACAAGTTAAGAGGAGAAGCAAATTTTGCTTTGAGAAATCGTCATTGTTACCTGCTTAGATGATCAAAAAGTGCCAAATGCCAAGAAGCTGTCCTTTCCTCTGCTGCTAGCAATGGCCGGCTAGCAGAAGGAGTTACAGGACAGAGTGTGCTGCTGTACTGCTCTTCCTTTTCTCCTCTGTGACACACAGCCATCTACCTGCAAGGATTACACATCCACTTGTAGGGTTTGAATCCGAATCAGGAAATGTTGTAAACTTGTAAGGCCTTGTGTTTATGGATAAATGCTTTGGGCAGTTTGGTTAGTAATCAGTTGCTGGAAACCCTTGTGACATCAGGAATCTTATTTATTGAAGAAAGTGTTCAACTTGTGCATTCCTAGAAAACCTAAAAACATTCAATTAACCACAGTTTTTATTGTTGTTGGTGGTAATATAGTTTAAACCAGTTGTTCTGCTATCTCCTTCTAGATTTGTTTAAGGGCTACTGCACTTCAGTATTCTTCTTTCTTTCTTTCTTTCTTTCTCTCTCTCTCTCTCTCTCTCTCTTTCTTTCTCTCTTTCTCCCTCTCTCCCTCTCTCTTTCTCTCTCTCTTTCCCTTCCTTTCCTTTCCCTTCCTTTCCTTTCCCTTCCTTTCCTTTCCTTTCCTTTCCCTTCCCTTCCCACAGGTGTCTGAGGGGATCAAGAAAAGCTATCATTCAGTAACTGAAAGCACACCAAGCAGGCTGTGTCCTAGTCTAGTGAATGGGAGTGGCACTTTTATTTTCAGTCTTTGAATTAAACATAGGAATGATTATTGAATTTCATAATTAAAAAAAAAAAAAAAAAAAAGTGAAATAATTTCAATAGAAATGCTGAGGTCAGAAAGAACCATTTTTGTAGTGCAAAAAAGTCCCAAAGGATGTGACCAATTGGCCCTATTGAACCTGTGAACTGATATGGCAGTGTCCCGTTGTTACCAACATAATGTTCACATCATTGTCCATCCCTCTTTAAATGTGAAGGCTTATGACACTCAAGTTTTCCAAACTGTGTGTAACCAGAGATGTTCAACTATGCACCAAGCAAAATCAAACTGTCATAAAGTTCATGTGTGGCACTAATTGCAATTTAACTGCATGGTTATTACAAGAGCTTTTAATTAACCCAATCATCATTCTGTGGCATGCAAATTGTGCATAATAACAGCATGCTGAATATAATGACAATAGGTTTGTCTGAACTGTGAAAATCGTGAGTTTTATAATTTTCTGAGGATTCCTTTTATGCCATTAAATATTGTGCAGTATCTGTTTAAGAAAATTGGACCAAAGTGGGGAGATGAGGAGAAAAGAAAAAAATCCTAGTAAGTTGCTTAGGCTTATCTGTTTTAAAATTTTACAGTTATCTTTAATTCTTTCTGAAATTCAGTGAGATTTGTAATTCTCTTTAGAATAATATTTTCAGTGATTCTTTCAGTCTCACTTTCCTCAGGGTATTTTCAGTCCTCTTCAAGAATCATTTTGTATGCTTTTCAAGGATCTTGTGTTCGTGGCCAAGAAAAATGCTCAAATTTTTGTGGGAATGTTCAGTGAGAATAAATACCCTTTCAGTGCAACTGGAGGGCAGGATGATAAGAATACATTCTGATCGGATATTGCTGCAAAATGATCATTTGTTAGCTCATTAGTGTATTGAGAGCAACCCCCTTCTCCCAAAGTGAAGATTCAAGCCTGTGTCTCCAAGGACTGACAGTAATAGTACTGGATGAATTTGTTACAGCCCAAAGGCTAAGAATACTGAGATGATGTGGCTGAAAGGCTGTTAAAATCCTTCTGGAATTGGCAGAAATACAGTTAACTGGCATTTCACTGGTTCCATATACACTTTCTAGATACTTAAAGAACACATACAAAAAACAGTAGACATTATTATGATTTTTTTAATTTATTTTTTTTTAAGTGTATCATGTGGAAAATGAAATTCTGACATTTTAGTTTTAAAATATTTGCCTCACAGACACAGCAGGCACCTGAAGGCAAGATAGTACTTACTATATGACCTCTTCATGTGCACAACTGCTTACTGAAGAAACTGTGTGAAAATGAAGACTGGGCCAGTGAGGAAGGCAAAAATATATCTGGCATCCATGTACAGTTAATGGTTTGAATATGACATAAAGATGTCAGGCACCAGTGAACAGCTGAAAAACAAAACAAAACAACAGATCATGTTCAGCTGGTTGAGTGATGCAAGTGTAATGTGTCAAACAAAATAAAGAAACAAACACCACACAAAGCTATCCAGGCAGGCAGTGTTCCCAGGGTTTTAAATAAAAATAAAAAAGTAATAAAAAAGAGAAAGGTAACAGACAAAGACATCATCAGAGTACCTGCTTGTACATGCTGAAGTAGCTCACCTTGTAGAAACTCTGTCTGAAGAAGGAAGCGACTTTGCTAAAGGTTAGTGGGCTAACTTTCAGCTGCAAGAGATGTTGCTATCATTAATATAACAGCTCTCAGCAGTATGACTACTGGCGTGTACTTCTTTGTAGGAATGGCAGAGGTGTGTGTGGTCCTGTACAGGCACTTTCTACAATTTAGCTAATGGTATTTTCAGAATATTCCATAGATATGTATGTAAAGCTTATATAAGATCATTTTTTTAAAGATTCTATATTTGAAACTAAGGTTTATTTGTAAATGTATCAGTGAATGCAAAATTCCCCAAATCATACTATGCATTTCTTGAGACATTCACTCAAAGTAAGTAAACAGAGAGAAAGGTCATGAGATAGTATTCTGAAGCAGCCATATAATGTATAAAATGAACACTGTCCATACTGCAAGCCACTAGGACTGTAAGAACAACTTATTTTCTTTATTTTTTCATTATAGTTGAGTAAAACTTAAAGACATTTAAATTTAATTTCAAGGAATATAGATATCTCCTGCCTTCATAGGGGAGCAATAGGAATACATATGGAGCAACAAACACATATGTTTTTTTCAGTTTATTACAGCTGGAGCTAAATTTCCCTTTCCCTTTTCCCCTTTTCCTTTTCCTCTTTCCTAAAGGAGCATTACTCACCTCCTTAGAGCCTGTATTAGCTGGTAAATCGCTGACACTGTGTTTCTCTGTCCCTCACAGGCTCACACCCTGCAGTTAGTGTCTGAGAGTGCCAGGACAGCTGTGGCATCTCTTTCAGACATCCAACGGCCAAAGTCAGCACAACCTACGCACCTAACCCGTGCCTGTCATGGGAGAGGTGTTCCTTCCCAAACATCTGGATCTGACGCTAACTGCTTGTGTTTGTGTTTCAAAAACTGGATACCTATTGTAGAGCCCAAAGTGACCCCTTTTAAGAAGGCTGACTACTTATCAAAACTGAGTTTTAATAAATCACATGCAGTATTAGTTTTTTGGTACTGCATACATGCTAGGTTAAAGACGATATGTGCCCTTCAGTCTGATTAACATACTGTCTGATATGATCCTCACCGTCAAGTATCTCTTACTTAATAAATATGTATGGCACTAATTATTTTTCTTCAGTGACTAGGAAGAATAATGAGCAATGAACATGAACTGGTTTCGTGTATAGCACAAAATGCTCACTATCACATTTTACAAAGAAGAAAATGGGAATTCATGTGAACTTGTATCTATTGACATCTGGATCAGAAAACCAGGCATATAAAATCCCTTGGTGTTTTCAACATCTATGGTCTGAATCATTAAACGTGCATCTTGGATCATTAAATTTACATCTTGCAAAGTTGTAATGCAGGTTTCCACCATGCTAAGTATTCACTATATGCTCTGAATAACTATGCTGAACGTGCCATAATAATTCATCAACCCTGAAAGAAATCACAGAGTTCAATACATATTAAAAAATGTGATTGGGGCGTAATACAGAAAAATGGAAATACGCTGCTGTTCACAACACATTGTGATCTCTGAAGTTACTGTCGCTGTCTGCATAACAATACAGTTTCTTGATAAAAGACAAAAAAGCCACATTCAATAAAATACATGTGGTGACTTGCTTATATACTTTATATTCCTTCAAAAGGAGTAATTTTGTTTGTTCTTTTACAAAATGAAATAGAATTGTGTTTACTGCATTCATTATAGACATACTGTTGACAAGTACGATAATTAATGATATTTTTTGTAGCTGATATTTATCATATGTCCATAGACTTTCGTTCTTGTTAAAATGGACTTAAACTGAATTGAGGGATATGTAATATTTTTTGCTTACATATCTTCTTTCCTTCTAATGACTTTTTTTCTTTTAGGTGAACAAGGTATGTGGCCCTCCTGTAAGGAAGCCTGCACAGTCTCCAAGTTGCTCTTTTGATCAGAACAAAGATAATGAAGGGCTGAAGATGTTCTCAAGAGACAGTGAAGAAACCCTTGCCAACAGAAGAAAGTAAGACATTAGTTTTACAGCCAGAAAGAAAGAATAAAGTAAGCCATTAATTTTACAACAGAATAGCTTATATTCAGTGCAGTGGCATGCAAAGAATGAAGCATTTCAGCAACACAGTCTGCTCAGTTACATTTTGAAAAGAGTCATTTTATGACTTTATGACTTTATGTTTTCCAGTATAATGGATGTATAAGTGGGTTCATTTGGTGTGTTTTGAAATATTTAAAAGAGTGGATAACTAAAATATGAATATGAATAAGAATATCAACTCTGTGTGTAAATTTTCAAATTACATTTAAATGGCACATCATTGGGTATTACTGCATCTGTCAAGACCTGATTGTCCCTTTTACCAGAAGACTGTACAAATTGATAAGAAAAAAACGTAATGACTTCATTCTTACATACCTTTCTGTTGTAATAAACGAGATAAATAAGCATTTAGGTTTAAGTCTTGAAGTTCTTGTTGAAGCAAATCCTGCTGACTTTTTTCTTTGGCTCTTTAGCCAGTACATAGTGAATTCAGGTGACTACAAAACTTAGGTATTTGATTTATATCTGGTTCAGCATTATAGTGTAAACTTTCCCTAACTGTGTAGGAGCTAAGTGTTTAAGCTGCCATTATATTCAGTGGGGAGGAGGACTCAGTTCAGCTGCCCACACAACAGCATGAGTTCAGTGCCATTTGAGGATGCCCTAAGGTATCTCAACTGATCTTCTGCTTCCCAGAAGGATACAGGTGTCCTGTAAGTTTTGCCATATGTTGCAGCCTTGTGCAGAGATCTCGGATAGCTGAAGGCACCTTAAAGGCCACCAGATATTCTATCTTTAGACAAATGAATCAAGTCTTTAATGCCTGCAAGGAGTAATTGCACTGTAAGGAGTAAGGATAGTATTACTGGTGAGATTAAAGGCTCTATTAATGCAAATCATATGCAAAGGAAAAATCAGAAATTTCATTCCCATCACAGTGTCCACTAAAGTACAGAGATGGTTTCTTTGGCCTCTTTTTCTTTCATTTGAGTTTGTAGTGCAAAAGGAGACTGAAATGAGAGAATTCCAAGTAATAATTACTCATTTCTGATATCTGGAGAAGAAAATGTGCCTCTGAGCTTCAAAGGCAGACCATTCTAGCTAGTGCAATGTTCTTTATGTTCCTAAGCAAGTTCCTGATGTTTACTCAGTGCTAGCACTCTGCAAACACAAAATTGCATTCTAATATCTCTATTCATCTGGGACCGTTCTATGATTCAAAAAAAAGTGTCTGGGTGGACCTCAGGGAGATCATATGGGACAACCAGAGCCAGTGGGCTGCAGAAAACACTGACATTTTGCCGTGGTTTATTCCTGTCTGAGATGCTGGAACCATTTAATGGCTTGCAACAGGTACTACACCAAAAAGCTGGGGGGTGTAGAATGAGAAAAAAAAGTTTTTGAGATGCACTGGCAGAAATTTCAGTTTAACAACTTCATAGTCCATATCATCTTCCCTTGCTATCTCCTGGATCACCCCTTCTTCCTTATTAGTCACAATCACTTTATATTTGTCTTTATATTCCCATGGCAACTGCAACAATTCCTCACACAGAAGAGCAACTTCAGCAAACCTTACAGCCTGCTTTTAAGGAAGCATGTTTCTCCCAGTCAAACTCTGCTTTTTTTACCTTCCGACCTGTTTATCTTTGGCAGCAGGATTGCTCTCTGCAACTTTCACAAGCTTTAGCAGAAAAGAATAAGCTTCTCCCAAATGGTGGAGGCTTGATCAATGAGAATTATCTTAGGAAAAAACAAGTGAACAAAAGGACTCCATTAAATGTGTGACTCCCAAGAGTTCCCCAGTTTCCTAATGTTTCTCAAATCCAGCTGCAGATGAAAGTTTACATGTACATGTGCATTAAAGAACAATGTACATGTTGGACTACTACCTGAACTTTTCCTAAATAATTTTCACTATCAGAAACACCATCAATTTAAACATCAACACCTTAGGCAAGTGTTTTCAAGCACTATGTGGTACAAGAAGAAAATGAAATTCCACTTTGCTTTTGACACTTAAAAATGTCAGATGAATTTTTAAAATTGCTAAGCAGAACATTACAAAATAACATACAATCTTAAAAATACCTAATGCTTTTTTCTCCAAACCTTAGCTTTGCAGACAGGTTATAACAAGGAGAATAAAATTGTAAGAACAAAACCAAACAAAAACATTGCCAAACAGATAAGAAATGTTTGTAGCTTGCACTGACTGCAATTGCACATTTGTGCTCAGCTGCCTATAATTACATGCTATCTGGTCTAAAAGATGTTGATGTGAAAATTGACATTCAAACCATCTGCCCTTCTAACTACTTTGGTCAGACATCTACAGGGGCTGAAATCAGTTATTACTTCTGTATTAACTTTGGCTTTGCCTCAGGATGTATCTGCTAATAAACTAAATAACTGACCTTTCTGTTACAACGCAGTTTGGGATAAGATATTGTAGCAGCTGTATTCATTTCCATTTCTTTATAATACATGGATTGATTGTACAGAAGAAGAAATTTCAACTATTTATTATGAGAAGACTTTAATCACTAGTATTCATCCAGAACATAAACACAACGCATAGTCAAAATCAAAATCAATTCCCCTCAATGGGATATGGAGGAAATCTGCAAACATATAATGCACACTATATGCAATTTGGGGGATGGAACAATACAGGATACAACTATCCGTGGTTGGGAAAGTGTAGATGAATCATATTTATATACTTAAAATAAACTGTGCATATACAATTACATGATGAATAGTCAAAAATGACCCTACCTGAGATTTTCAGAACAGTAGTTTTAGACAGTAATGCACTTAGATCACCTTAAATAATCATAGTAAATCTGAATCACTGTGCTTTGTGTAGAATATTTGCCCTACAATTACAATTAAAAAGTGGCTTTTTAAATGACAGAATATGTAAAATTATTCATGTTTTATTTGTGTTAATTTTGAGTAAGCAAAAATTAAAAATTTAATTCCATATGCCATTTTAGATCTGTGTTAACTAAATGTAATGAAACGTCTAGAACTTTTAGAGCTATATTCTTTTTTTTTTTTTTTTAAATTCCAGACAGCATTCAAGAAGTTAGCATAATGAGAAACTTGCTGGCTTATAGAGCAATGAGTACAGCATTTGTCGGTACCTTTCTTCTTCGTGCCTGCGGGTCATAGATAACTCAGTATACTGTGATATTCTAAACTGGAATAAATAAGTATTTTAATTTTTCACAGCAGGAATGGGTCTCCCAGGAAGAGATTTTCAATACATAAGCAAACAATTTATAAACAGAAATATCTCAATCCAGTTACAAACATACTAGCTAAAAAGTCATTCATTTGTTTTGATTTAAGTGCAAAACCTTATCATTAGCTCTGGGCAACTTGGCAATTCTGTAAAATAGCAATACATAATTTATAACTTAGCAGCATAACAAGATAAAATTGATGTCTTTTGGCAGACAGTAATTTAAATATCCACTAAATATTTAACATCTACATCTTAAACCCATTCTACCTAAATCTTGAATTACTCCGTAACTCTCACCAATACTCTTTCTTGTACTTGTAGGACTGTAGGGGACCAGTTGGTAGCGCTGAAAAACAGGTGACATTAATATACACCTGTTTTTTTATTTGCTATGCTTTCCTTTGGAAAAGCTTTCCTGCTTTCTTTTTATTACATTTGTACAAGTGTAGTATTTCAAGCTATATCAAAATTATGCAAGAAAATTTCAGGGTGGAGGAAAATAACTCCCATTCCAGAGCATGAGTAAATTGTTTAATTTTGACAATAACAGTATCAAGTCTGTAAACTACTGAAATATGTCAGAGAGAATCTAACTTAGGTAATAAGAAGTTGACAAATTGGTTTAAAACATCATTGGAACCAGGAGAGAACATTAGAAAAAGCATATTCTGTATCTTCTTGTAGACATGCACAATAGCAGTACTGCTTAATGTTATTGATTGACACTGTCTATTGTTTCCCATGTTCCTCTATGCAGAGAATTTATCAGCCACCTCCGGCTCTACAGAGCCTTTTACGGCGGACTGGCTGATCAGCTGTGCGGTAATGAGTTGGCAGCTGCTGATGGACTCCCGTGTTGGAATGGAGAAGATGTTGTAAGAAGGTACCTTTTTCACTCACTTCTGTCTTTCCTTCTGTATTTGTCATTGCTCTAAATTAGCCAAGTGGAGTCAAGTGCATTGTTTCTCTGGGTATATGTCAAAGCCCATTTGGAAAACAAGTCAGCATGGGTTTCCTTCTCTCAGGCCTCATCTATAAACAGAATTAAAAAACAACCTGTATTTATGTTTTAAAGAAAAAAAGAATATTACTGGTCCTCAGACATTTCTGCATCAAATTTATGGAGCTTAACCATACGCTGGTTAGGAGAAGATGGACTGGCATTTACAAAATATAGTTGGAAAAAATGAATATGGATTTTTCTTTTCAGGGATGATCTTTATAAAGAGCTCCTTTTAATACAGAGTTTGTGATATCAGACAAGCTGTTTGCTTAAAACTTTCTCTGGCTCTGAAGAATGAACTAATCTTTTAATATATGTGGTGTCTCGGGAGACCACTATAAGTTAAGACACTAAGATAAAATGTTTTAAAGGTGAAACACCTGTATTGTTTTATGTATGCACTAGCTTGGGAGACATCACTCAGTAGCAATGGCAAAGAAGAAATAAAAATAAACTGCTAGGCTCCTGGATGCATATCTCTGGAATCGATATGTTTCACAACTTACAAGACACTATCATTTGTGAATGTCAGATGGATTTTCAGAGAAATGAGATATGTGTTTTTGCTTTATTGCTCTCATCAAGAAAACAAGTATTTCTCTGAACTTGTGGTGACAGATGAAAATATTGAAAGGTTCATTGCAATTATGTTTTATAAAGATCATGCTCTTATTCCCAAGATGAGGTAGTATCAAAGAAGGTGGGTAAAGGCTATAAAGGTGTGTTAGTAAAATGGGAGATAGCTGGTACTAATCAGATCAGGCACTGACAGTCTGCATCTTCAGCATGGGTTAATGAAAAGCAGGTCCTGCCTGACTAACCTTATCTCCTTATATGAGAAGAAGATTATAGGCTTAGTAGATGAGGCTGTTGATGTTGTTTACCTGGATTTTAGTAAAGAGTTGGACAGTGCTTGCCACAGTATTCTTTTGTAGAAACTGGTTGCTCCGGGCATGGACAGGTATACAGCTTGTTGGGTGAAGAACTGGCTGGATGGCCAGAAGTCATAGTGGAGTCTAATCCTCTTGGCAGCCAGTCACCAAGGCTCAGCACTGGGTCCAGTTTTGCTTAACATTTTTATCAGTGATCTGGATGAAGGAATCAAATGTATCTTCAGAAAGTTTGCAGACAATACTGAGTTAGGCAGGACAACTGAAGGTATGAAAGCTCTGCAGAGGGATCTGGATAGGCTGCGTCAATGGGCTGCGTCCAGTTGCAAGTCACTCAGCAAGGCTGGGTGCAACTGGGTGCTGCACCTGGGTCACAATAACCCGATGCAGCAGTATGGGCTTGGGGAAGAATGACTGTAAAGCTGCCCAGCAGAAAAGGAGAGGGTGGTCAAGCGTCGGAACAGGCTGCCCAGGGAAGTGGTGGAGTCCCCATCCCCTGGTGCTTAGGGACATGGTTTAGTGAGTGACATTGGTAGTAGGGCGATGGTTGGTCCACATGATCTTGCAGGTCTTTTCCAACCATAGTTATTCAATTATTCTATTTAAGAACGTGGATGTGGCACTGAGACGTGGTTTAGTGATGGTACTCAGTAAGTCAGCTTGATGGTTGGACTCAATGATCTTGAAGGTCTTTTCCAACCTAAATAATTCTATGATTTTAGGATTCAGGCATCTCTAAATAGGTTATGTAGGAACTATAATGTATTGATTAGTGATGTCTAAGAAAACAGTACATACCCTTTCAGCAAACAGCTAGAGATCTGCTTTAGTTTATCATCTTGGGTAGTGCTTTGCAAGCATTAAGGCCCAATAAGTGGTTGACCCTTGGTACTCTCATTGTCCTAATTTGTGAACAATCTTCTCAGGATGAATTATCCTTTCTTAGATACCTGTATTTCAGATTTAATTTCAACTTTATATCCTGGCTTTTATTTTCATGCTTTTCCCCAAATGAGTTATAGTACTCCTACTAAATGTCTCAGTAAGAATTTGAAGTAAGAATCTTGTAATTACAGATTTCCTAAGAAAAAAATTCTTGTATTCTAATTTTTATATTCAGGTGGGCTTACTATCCATATATTATATATTTTCACAACTATATTATTATACAGTACTATTACATTTTAGTCATTATACATGTATTATTATATTGTTACTATTATTACACTGTTATATTTTGAGAAGTATGATTAGAAGCTTCAGTCCTTTTACATCAATGAAACATCTCATTAAATTCTAGACTACAGTGATTTTTAAAAGTAATTTTATTTGATTTAAATAATTAATTAGCACAATTTATTTGTGGCTCAACCTAAAGACATAGGTGGTGACAAGAATTCCATATCTTAAATGAAAGACTTCATTGATTTTAATTTAACTTATACATTTCCTTACTAAAGTATTTTATTTTTATATAAAAGTAGATATTATTTTTATATTGACTTTGTCTCTAAATTTTAATGTTAACTTTCTGAAAGAGCTAACAGTACTATGTAGATAATATTTAGGAGTAGAGAGAGCTGATTAAAACCAGAAGAGCAGAATGCTCTGGGTTACTCTAGGTTATCAGCTGGAACTGAGGCCTGTAGATTAGTTTTCACAACTCAGCACCTCTACGTGTACACTATATCACGATGCATATTCTTCTGCTTCAGTAGCTGTATGACTGTCCTCTTCCTCCCGTTCCTCCCATTCATTTTGCCTTGTTACTCAGTCAAAATGTCCTATTTTCATTTTTATTTTTCATTTGTTCTTTTATAACTGAAGGGGAAAAATGTCCATCCTGCACATCCTGAAATCATTTATTTTTTCTTATTATTACTACTGAATTGCTAAGCTATGGAAAAATGGGCACTTTTATTCTTAGGCAGTTCCGTGTGCTTGCTATCAAAACAAGGCACATGTAACACAAGAGTTCAGGGCAGGAGTACAGATCAGATGTGCAGTGCCTGAAGTATTCTCTTGGGTTATGGAAAGTCAAACTGTGTCTCAGAAACACTTTCAACACACTTAAATTCTGCAAATTTGGATGCAAGGAGAATATGTTCAAGTAAGAAAGGTTCCTAATCTGCTCTATGTATTGTGCTGGAAAATGACAGTTGGAATGGATCAATGAATCAGTCCAATTTAGAAGGGAAAAAATGAATACAAATACAAAAAATAGGGCAAGTGGTTCAAAATCATCTTGATGAAATTCAGCATAATCCCAGTTACAGGTTTTTCAGAAGAAAAAAAAAAAAAAGCAAACTTGAAGAGTATTCCCAGGAGCATTATGAGAGCAATCAAGAATCTAGGAAACTCAGTTTATATAAAAGTAATGAAATACCTGGATCTGTTTAACCTGGAAAAGAAAGAGTGATGGGAGAAAAAGCAAAGTGCAAGCAAGCTGTTGCTAAGGGGAAGAAAAGTAGCTATTATATGTTTCTATAATGGTTAGGACACGTAACGTGTAAATTATGGCATGATTAAATATTACAGAATCACAGAATCAAAGAATTGTCTAGGTTAGAAGAGACCTCAAGATCATCGAGTCCAGCCTCTGACCTAACACTAACAAGTCCTCCACTAAACCATATCACTAAGTTCAACATCTAAACGTCTTTTAAAGACCTCCAGGGATGGTGACTCCACCACTTTCCTGGGCAGCCCATTCCAATGCCTAACAACCCTCTCAGTAAAGAAGTTCTTCCTAATATCCAACCTAAACCTCCCCTGGTGCAACTTTAGCCCATTCCCCCTCATCCTGTCACCAGGCACATGGGAGAATAGACCAACCCCCACCTCGCTATAGCCTCCTTTAATGTACTTATAAAGAGTGATAAGGTTGCCCCTGAGCCTCCTTTTCTCCAGGCTGAACAAGCCCAGCTCCCTCAGCCGCTCCTCGTAGGACTTGTTCTCCAGGCCCCTCACCAGCTTCGTCGCCCTTCTCTGGACTTGCTCGAGCACCTTGATGTCCTTCTTGTAGCGAGGGGCCCAAAACTGAACACAGTACTCGAGGTGCGGCCTCACCAGAGCTGAGTACAGGGGGACGATCACCTCCCTAGCCCTGCTGGCCACACTGCTTCTTATGCAAGCCAGGATGCTGTTGGCCTTCTTGGCCACCTGAGCACACTGCTGGCTCATATTCAGCTGACTATCAACAAATACTCCCAGGTCCTTCTCTGCCAGTACTTGGGAGAGATTTCTAGTGGTGGGGATGGTAAGCAACAAAAGCTGGTAGTTTCAGGTCTGGTATTTGCCTGCATGAAGATGTTTAATAACAGGAAGAGCAAGGTGCTGAGAAATAATGCAGCAAAAAAATATTTTTCCTTAGAGATACCAACGTGAATTGTATAACCTCATAAGAGCTGCTTCAGCCTTCTGATTCTCAGACTAGAATTATCTAAACCTTGAGTTGCTCAACTTCTGTTCTCATGATCCCAGGATACTGTGACATTTTAGAAGCAACAATGACGTGAGCAGACATCATCACTTTTCTCTGTAAATACAGAACACCTGAACCTGTGAACTTTCTCTTCCTTACCCTACACACAAACACACACACACACACACACACACACACAGACACTAGTGAATTTGTCTGTGCAGTATTACTCAGGGAGAGGAGGGGAAAATCAGTATTGTTCAAACTAATTGAATGTAAATGTTTTTTATCTGTTGTGACATTCTTCATCTCTCTCTGTTTTTGCTTTCTGTTTAAAAATCATGTACCATAGCTGTTGATGACTGTAATTTTAGGCCTGACATGGGAAGCAATTCCATAAGCTACATAATGCTGGCGCATGGGTATCAGCACTGGAAGAGTTTGCTGTATCTCTGTTTAAAACTGCAAACAGGCTTGCAAATAAATCCTTGCAAAAACAAAAACAAAAACAAAAACAAAAACAAACAACTGCAAATAAGCCCTGGAGACAGAAGATGGATATGGTAAAAATAAATAAATAAAATCTTTGCTGCTCTTCTTTGTCCTTTTGTGCATTTTTTAAAGGAAGTTGTTTAGAGTTTTAACAGCTAGCTGTTAAAACCATACCATATCTCAGTTAAATCTTGTAGCTTTTGCCATATTTCATACCATCAAGATTGGATGGGAACAGATCAAAAAAAAAAAAAAAAAAGGGGTATTATTTAAATGAAAGCTTTCCTAACAGTTTACATTTCATGTGTTTCAGCTGCTTCCTTTTTGGCTTATTTATTTATTTTTTAAAATAACCATAATATCATGACAATTAGGCCCTTAATTCAGAAACTAGAGCTTGTTCTGGGTCTAGCCTGTTACATGGTGTAGGTTCACGCTTTTATCAGAACTGAGATAAGAATCCCTAAACTGCTGTATTCATGTTGTTCAAGAGAAGAGAAGAGTTCAGTTGGAAGGGACCTTCAAAGGTCATGTAGCTCAACTGCCTGACCACTTCAGGACTAACCAAAAATTACAACATATTAATCAGGGCATTATCCAAATGCCTCTTGAACACAGACAGGCATGGGGCATCAACCACCTTGCTAAGAAGCCTGTTCCAGTGTTTTACCACCCTCATGGTACAAATATTTTTCCTAATGATCAGTCTGAACCTCTCCTGGCACAGTTTTGTGCCATTCCCACATGTTCCATCATCATTTACCAGATGGAAGAGGTCGGCATCTCCCTCTCTGCTTCCCCTCCTCAGGAATTTGTAGAGGACAATGATGATATCGCTTCTTAGCCTTCTCTTCTCCAGAGTAGACAACCTAAGTATCCTCAGCCTCTCCTCACAGGACCTGCCTTCCAGCCCTTTTACCAGCTTTCTTCTTGTTCATTAAGTGGTTTAACTGACACTTACACAGTTTTGGTTGTCCAAAGCACATGGCTAGAATGTGAACAGGGATGAATTAAAAGTCCACAGAGGAGAGCTGAATGTAGACTTTCCATCTTGAGACCAGTGATTCCACTGAAACAAAAATAGATGTGAGAGAAGGAAATAATAAAATTATGCATGTTGATGGACTCAGAACTAACAGGGATTATTAAAAACAGCTAATCAAGTTTGGAAGGAAGAGTTTCATATGAAACACATATCAAAAGTATCCAAATTAAGAAGAATTAAACAGCCTGATTGATTTTAATTGCTGAGCAAGCTGTTAGAAAATGATTATAATAAGCATCTATCATCAAATAAATGTTTAGCTTTAGCACAGCTCTTACGCTGGGGAAGGAATTTTCTCTTTAGACTCTTAAATATTCTGAAACAAGAGTTCAATCCCAAATTAGCTCTTAGCCAACAAAAGCAGATAAATGGTGATATAAAGAGATATAATGAATTCCTCTTAGTTTTCTTCTATTTGAGCTAGCTCTCAAATCATAATGAGGCAGAGGTGAAACTGCTATTGAAGGCACCACTTGCAACCTATGCAAAAAAAAAAAAAAAGCCTGAGCAAATTGAAATGTTGAGAATAGCCAACTGGGGCTTTTACTGCTTTGCCTAATATGCTATTGTCAATAACGACAAACAACAGATGCTTAGAGAAAAGCAACTGTAAATTTGTGTGTCCTCACAACTGGCAAATTTGGCAGTGCCTGCCCCAGAACAGTGAATGTTCAGTCTTCTCATGAACTCATGAAATCTTAGCACCAACAGCATTCCAAAATCAGCCTAGCATCCCACGATTAGGAATTGGAATCAGAATTGTTCACAGTTTTGTTTTGACCTTCAACTGAAAGAAATCCAAATGCCTTAAGTCTGAAATAACTGTTTTGAACTGCTGCTGCCCCCTTAGGGATACTTGGAAGAGTATCCCTATGGTTCACCAGCATATGGCACCTCGGCTGTAATGAAGAATCAGGACATCTGACCTGTAAGGAGAATATGTAGCTCCAAAGGTCCTCCATGAATTCAGGAGAATTTTTTCATTACAATTTATAAGCCTGCATTTGGAAAGGTGCTGTTTTCAGGTTATATTCGATATCTAATCGGGAATGCCATTAGTTTTACCACTCCCACCCACACCCCCAAAAAGAAACACCATTAAGTTGATATTGATCCTATTTTGGTTGTGAGAAAAATGAGAGGGTCTTATGACAATTTTTTTCTGTGTCATTACAGAAAACAAAAGACATTTCTATTTTTGTCATCAACATGTAATTCAATAATAAAATAACAATATTTGTCTAGTTGCTGGTTTTCTGGAGGTAACTTTTTGTTATCTTTTATTTTGAGAAACTTGAAATGTTATTTATAGGTTATCTTAATGAATTTGGGAATTACAGGTAAGGATATAATCTGAACTATTCCAGAGAAAGGCAAAAAACAGAAGAAAGAAAAATACTGGTTTGATAATAGATTGTATAAAAACTATTTACTTTATGTAAAGGCTGAAATTCTGAACCCTCTGTCAGTTGTTTTTAGGAGATCCAAGTCTGATATTAGGTGATAAATGAAATGTTATATGATTCGTTCGTTTACATTAATTGTGGGTTTTGTTCTCTATTTTGTCAGGAAGTATACACACATAATAAATCATTCCTGCTTTAATAATAGTAATATTATAATATAATATAGTTATATGTTAATATAGCTTTATTATTTTCATAGTTTTATTATTTTTATAGTTTTATTATTTTTACTAATATGTTAATATAGTTTTCAGTATATACTTAGACAAGTCTCATGACAATTCAGAATATAATTTATTTAATTATTTAAAAGCAGAAAAATATGTATTGCATTTGATTACCTGTAAATAAATGATCTGGTTATCCTTCTGTTTACTTGAGCAAATGCATAGTTTTCTGTACTGTTTGTCCTTTGTCATGCACAGAAGGAGTTATAATGGAAGGGTTCTAATGCTGGGTGAATTTATTTTTAATAAGTTGGTAATAATTTACAAAGTGTATTGTCTTTTAAACTGAAAAGCATGATTTGAGCTGTGTTGAATAACTGCTAGCATTTATAAAGTCTGAAAGATAGACAAGAGAAAGAACAGTGACCAAGGGTATTCTAAGAGTTTGAATTCTGGCATTATAATACCTTCATTCTGGAGTGTTTTGTTCTTTCATTTTACACAGCCCTAAAGCAAACAAACAAACAAACAAAAATCCACAGGTTTACTCCAGAATTTAGCATTAGAGAACTGTTGACTATTAAAAGTTTTCCTAGGGAGTTCAGGGCCACTTTACCATAGTTTATGAAATGCAACAATGGAGGCAGAAAGATCTGTCATCTCTTTTTCTGTATAGTAAGTTTTGACATTATTACCAATGAAAATTCATGCCGTATAGTTCAAAAATAAGCCTAACGTAAAATAAATATGAATCATAGGTGATTGTACTTGACAGAAGATTTGTGTATTTGTGCCTCACTGAAGTTCTTATAAATTAAATCCAATCTAATTGGATTAAAGTTTTATATATATGATACCTTTCAAGTAATATGTTTAGTGATATTTTACAATAAGATCCCTTATACAGTGATATTCTGAACCATTTATATTTTTAAATGCAAATTATTTATCATCTGTAGCAATGGCAATGTAATACAACAGCACTCACTGAATTATTTAAAAAATATTTTGGGTTGTGAAAAATCTTCTCAGGGGTTCTCTTTTCACTGTAGTGTTCACAGCAGTCCTGAATAAACACTGCAGGCTTACTAGTCCAGGCAGGAAACTTTTGAGTACTTATGACTGTGCAAGTGTTCAGCACTTCAGCATTTGCAGGTTTTCCTTTCCACCTTTGTTTTGTATGTGTTGTCAGCTCACGACTTTCCTCACAACAGTTGTAGGTCAGATTTTCAATGAGCATCTTGCACTGACTGTATCTATACTAGTGAAACTTAAGATTCTGCTGTTTATTTTATTTTATTTATTTATTACATCTCCACATTAGGCTTAGTAACTTCTGTTATCCTAAATCAGGACTGATTTTAGAAATGTGGAAATTGGTTGGGAGTCATATGAGAAAATCACTGATTGTTTCTATATGTCTAATTGTGAAGTTTGCAGTAAGCTGTTCTAAGCTCTTATAATTGCTATATAAGAGCAATTTTGCTTTGTAGTCCTATTATGGTGGATATTCTGTAAATTATTTTGTGTAAAGTCTAATTTCATTAATGCCGTTTATGTAATATGGTTGATAAATTGGTATTCGTATAATTTTGCTAATGCATTCAAAGAATGACAGTTCACTTCATTTATTCTATAAATTAGTATTATTCTTTCCAGTTGTATCAAATTATTCTTGCTGCTTTTGTAATTAAAAGAATCATCATTTTCTCTTTAATGAAATAAAACTGATACGCCATTCACAACTGTGAGTCTACGAGCATCTACTTCAAAAATACAGGGTTGTCTGGTCTCTTTAATAAAAGTTATGATTTCTTACCTACCTTAGCAGCTCATCTTCTTGTATTCCATTAGGATTTTATGATGGGAAGCACAAGTTGGCCTGTATTCATTAAAGTGACTATTTTGTTTTAGCTGTTGCTGTTCTAACACTGCATTCTCAAGGTCTAACTTCATTACTTGTCCAAATACGGGCACTCGGTGAAAACTATGCTGAATTAATGAAGGCTGTGAATTTAGAAGTCAGGGTTGTTAACTCTTTTTTGACTTAGTTCATTGAGTGAGAAAACCAAATTGAAGACACTTTGGTTCAGAAAGATTTTTTATTATGAAGGTATGGTATCTCACACAGAAATGTAATGTTTTTCTAGTCCAGTTAATGCATTTGCATCTTTAATATACTCGAAGTGATGTTTTGAGTTTAATCTTTCCTAAGTAAAAGAGACACCTTTGCTGCATGGCTTGTAAAAGACATACGTGCCAGCAAGCCCTTCCATCAGACTGTTAGGACTCATTATGTATATTTAAGAAAAAAATATGCCTGCAGGAGAAGGAATTGCACTATAGCATCCTGCTGTGTAATACTGTTTTTCCTCCTAAGTATCTACCAAAGGAATCTGAGTGTTGAGTTTCTGTCACATTAGTTTTTAAACACATGCTTTGGCAACATTAATGTCTTATGTTAATAAGAGCTTGCACTGTTGAAACTTTTGCTCTTCTTCATATCTTCTACTCCAGGTGCACGTGAAGAAATGCATACCTGAACTGGTCTTCTGGCTTTTCTCAGTAAATAAATAATGTGGGCCTTTGCAGGACTCAGTTCATTCAGTCCTTAAGTAGTTGGATAGAAATTCCTAGAAGGTCATGTTTCTCTCCATTGGCTATGAAGGTCATCAGTGTAGATGTTTAAATGTAGTGGTAGGATTTATATTATCTAAGTCTAAAATATATAGAATCTTACATGTTTTTTCAAGAACAATGCAATGTATCCACACTAAGATGAAAAAAAAAAATACCTTAAACACTGGGTGTTAAACCTGGGATATTGATCCAAACCCATTATGCTTAAGTCTTTGAGATATTTCACCAAAATATATTGATCCATATTCTAAAAGTAATATATAGCAGTGCTGATCAGTTTTTGATAGTGCAAGTCTTCTGGTTAAATTGACATATGAAAATAACTTTTTACGGGATAACAGTGTTCAGGACCAAGCAACACTACCTCTTTATCTTTGGTCAAAGATGAAACATATTCTTGAATGAGGTATACAGTTTTATGTTTTGCATAATTGTTTTGAAGTTGTTTGTTTGTAAAGGTTAAATAAAATTAGTAATGGATCTGAGGTGAGTTAGAGTAGTTGTGGAAAGAATATAAAATTTTTCTTTCATTTTCCCTTTATTTCCTAAGCCTATTTTCTCTGTAGGAGAGGTTATAGCATCTAGAACTCAGGTCTTAAATGTCCAGTTCTAATATAGTGTTATGAAAATTGGAATATTCATGTTCTTTTATGAAATATGATGGCAACATTATCTGAGGGAAGCTTATGTTCCTGTACACAAGTATGTTTCTACTCATCCTCCTATTAGTACGTCTCACTTTCATATCCCAATGTCTTTAAAATCTTCTCTGAATCACACATAAGGACAGCAGTAACAGAGGAAGTAATAAGCCTATCCTATTTTACAGTCTAATAAAAGTACATTTTCTTTTTGTTTGTTTAGTGAAACGCTTCTGGAAGCTACAAAGATATCATGGCAGATACCTAAGATTATTGCTTTCGGTTCAAACATCAAAGCAGCATATTATATTCTACTTAGAGAAGAAAAGTATATTATTATTAGTGCATCCTGAAATTGTTGCAGAGAAGCTGTTTGAAGTAATAAAAACTAATTAAAAAATCAAATACTTTTTCATTCAAAAGTATTATAGATGTGGTCAGTTAACAGGTGGTGGTACCATATGGTAGAAGAGCAATACTGAACCATTCAAGAGTTCGGAAGAGCACCTAATGGAGAAAAAACGAATAAATCATTACAGTTATTTTTTGAGCAAAGGTCTTTTATATGTGCAGATTATCACTATATTTTCCTCAGTTCCTTGAACAGCAATTCCAAGATCAGGGCAACTGGCTCTTGATTTCATGCATATCTAGCTCAGAAAAGATTTGACTATGATCCAAACCAACGAAAGCTCATTCTGGAGTACTGCCCTTCAGCCTTTTGACAGCACAGACTGTACTTAGAGATCTTGGCAGTACTCATTTAACTTCAAACCCATATTTTTATATCTAGAGAAATTTTTCCTAGCCATTTCAAGAGTTTATAGGTAGCCTGTGCCACCTCTTCTCTACTTTTAATTTCTTAGTAAAGAGGAATATATTCGAGGAATAAAGAAGTTCAGCAGAACAGTGAGAAGTTGCTTAGACACTTGTGAAAGATTGAAAAAAAAATAAATTCAGCTTATGCAGTCAATACAGTTAATTCTTTTGGTTTTTATCTTTATAATGCCATATTTGTGTACATAAAGAAGACTTTGTTTTGGGAGTGAAATTCAAGTGACATTTTAAGCTATGCAAAATTGAGGTGTTTTATCTAGACTCCTAGAGATTGTATAGTCAACGGAGTGTGCCACGTCCTGCCTAGTGCTTGTGGACTGCCTGTTTCCCATTGTAATCACTGGGAGTGAGCCAAGATGATCCACTGATCATCTTGAGAGGAGCTGCATGGCTTAGATGATCTGAATCATGCCCTCAAGAACATGCAAGTCAGATGGAAAAAGGTTTGCACCGTAAAAGGACAAGCAGAAAGAATTCCGAACATATGACATGACTCTCAGAAAGAGACTACAGAAATGGGCTGCTTCTACCCTGGGCCTCAGGGAGCTGTAGTTAAACGTGTAACACTGCACACCATACTCAGGTAAATGTCACCAGAAGATGACCATTGAAGGTAAAAGAAAAACAAGTTTTCTGAACATCAGCAGAGGCTCAATGAATTGCTTTTCTCCTCATCCTTCTTTCAAATTCCTCTGTAGGAGATTTGAATCCACTATAGAGAAAGAGTCACTGTGGCAGATGCTTCAGCACTGCCGTTGGAACAGTTCACAGAGATAGACAGAGCACATACTATGAGTCAAACAGATGCTCATGACAGGAAAAACTCTTGTCTCAGCTGTGTACACAAATTAGAGTGGAAGACATGAAGAGAAGCCATATGTAAAATAGATCCTACACTTGTTGTTCAAATGAGCAGTTTTCTCTAATACTTCCATCAAATTTTAAACTGTGTGGGATTAGAATTGACATTTTTCCATTTCCATAAACAGGAAACAGACCTTGAGTATAGAAGTTAGCAGTTAGTATTGTGCTGCATAAGCAAGATTATCATTTCATAGGGCAGGAACAAATTATTTCTCAAGGGACAGGACAGTTCATGTCCTAGGAAGTCTCATCTGATAAATAGGCAGTGTAATTATGCACCACATTCATTTTTCCTTTTTTTTTTTTTTTTTTTTTTTTTTTTTTATGTGCATGTAACATTGTCCTAAGCTTGTGCATTTAAACTTTTGTGTATCTGGGAGTAAAGCAAAAAAACAATCTATATCTTGATAAGGTCAGAAACAACTTTCTTCTGGAAAATTTTGTGTCCAAACAAACAAAAATCCAGCACCAAAATAGTCACAATGAAAATAACCCTTGACAAATCCACATTAAAAGCTATTATGTTATGCCTTGTTAAAATTAGTGTTCCTATTATCTTGAGACATGTTTTCTGCCTCCCCACTGCCCACTGCACTCCTGCCCCCTAAAAAAAACAGAACAAACAACAGCAAAAAAGCACCACACAAGGACACCAAGAGAATAGTGACAATGATAAGTTCTTCTGAGACACTGTGGCTGTCTGTTTAAGTGAGATCACTTTCCTGGAGTATTTGGAGATCTTACTCCAAAACAGATTTCCAGCTCATAAACTGCAAAACAAGTGAACAGGCAATAGTCCTTCACAGTTGCCAACAATAAATGATCTCTATCCAGCTGACTTAAAAATGAAGATATTTATTCACAGAGCACAGTTAAATCACAGAATCACTGAGCTGAGATAGTGTGGAAACAAAAAGTGTACCTGGGTTCAAAGAGAGGCTAGATAAGTTAATGGAAGAACTCAGCAATGACTGTTGATGAAATTATGATTTAATTCTGCTTTCTATAAATTGCCACAAACTGGGTGACAATACCGAAGAAAGAAGAGGGAGAAAGTGTAGTATTATACTTTTAACAAGTTCTTGCTGGCTAACTTTAGACAGTGGGACAGTGGATGCTGCTACTAGATTTAAGCTTGCTGAGTGGAGATATTTCTTTAAGAATTATTGTAACTTCTTGTCCATGATACTGCCGTGAACCATTCTCATCTTGAAAAAAAAAAAAAAAAAGAAAAAAAAAAGATATTGATGGACACTCGAATATAAAACAATTTAATCTAATTGTCAAGGTCATCCTTGCTATCAAGACTATGCAATGTCCTGCTTTTCAGCAATTGCTCAGAATTGGGAATTGAGATCTAGAGATTATAGCAGAAATGCTTTCAACTCTTAGAGGCTTCCTCACTGTAGAAACATTTTTTCTCTTAATTTTGTAAAGTACAAAGAGCTCAAATTTATATATAATTTCCTGTTATTTTTGTGGAAAATGCCTATGTGATTTTTTTTTCCTCCTCTCTCTTTTATCTGTCTTCTCTCATTTTTTTTTGAGAGAAATTGCATTCTGCATTTTAAACAAATCAGAGACATAAGATCTGGTCTTCTCCACCCCACCATTTGCATCTTACATTTTCCTACTACAAATTCAAGTGACTACTAAAATGATTTCTTTTCTAAAAGAACTTGCAGATCTGTACTCATGATGTATGTGACAAAATGCTTACCAGAAATCAGCATTACTTTCAAGTACTTCTAATGGCAACTGTAGTTCATATTTCGTTACACTATTATGATAAAGCACAGAAAAACAGTTAAACACAAAATGGGATTTTTTTAGGGCTATGTTAGTACTTATTTGAACCTCATCCAACCTGATGAGGCCATAATCATTCACAATTGTTCGAGATTTCATTTTTTTCTCATGTTCATAGCATGGCATCTACAACAGCAACAGAAGCAAATACTTTAGGTAAACCTTCGCAGTGGTGGATTTCTCGTTTTGGTGGTCCTCTGGAGAAAGCTGTTCATTCTGTTGCTGGATCTTAGGTTGCCATCCAGTGGAGAAGACTGTAAATTCTAGTTGTTGCAGAAAGAAGCTTTGTTACTCACGGTGAATCTGCCTTTATTATGCAGGGGAAAAGA